TAGTGATTAGTATAATAATAGTATAATAATATAATAATTATAATGTTATAATATTATACTTATAAACTGCTGAATAATTATCTGTTGCTCAGTGTGCAACACCTTTTGATTGAGTACCATGTGTTTGGTATGCTGGGATCCCAGAGGCAGGGAAGGGAGAGGCTCTGCTGGGATTGGGCAGGACCGCAAGAGTGCCCCCTACCCTGGCTCTGCAGAGCTGTGTCCACCCCTAATACAGTCGAGAACATCCCATATGACCCGGGCCCCACCAAGAGGAACACTGACGTCTCTGGAGTTGGAAGTAGAATGGGAGTAGGGGCTTCCCTCAAGAGAAAGGAAGAGAAGAAATGAGATTGGTTCAAGTTCTCACTTCACATGTACTAACAGGGAGCCTTCACTGAGCCCCGGAGCAGGAGGAGGGGGCACCAGCTTCCTTGCAAGGGAACTGTACCCGGTGAACGTTAAGTGCCTAGTGCATGCTGGGCACATGGCAGCCCCGTTCTTCCACACCAGAATCTTCTCAACTGCCGCTGGCCCGTGGAAGCAGAGGCTGAAGCCTACATACCCCTCCTCCATCACCCTCTGACAACCAGGACTTGTGACCTCCTTTCCAGAATGCCGGAAACCGCGTGAACCTCCGGCTCGGTTGACAGTGGGCATGGAGCTGGCCTCATCTCCTGAATCTTAGCCACTGGGCCCCGAGGCTCGTGGGCCGCTGAGTGCTGCTGGACCCTCTGGGTGGGCTTGACCTTCTCGGAGGTCCCTGTGAACAGGACTGGTACACGGCTCCAAATGCCATTACATCACAGTCAGTGTGAACAGCGCCTCCTGGAATTCTGCAGGGAAGAGTCCGCGAGGCCAGGACCAGTCTCCTTAACAGACCCAAAACCCTGCGCAATGCCATGGGTTAGGATCTCCAAGGTGGTCCTCTGAGCGCGTGAGAAAGCACCCAGGTCATCCCACTCCTGCTTGGGAACCTTTTCTCTTCTAGAGACTCTCACCCTGAGAGATTCAGGCAGCTTCTCTGATTTGACTTCTGCCATTTGTCTTTTTCTCAGTCTTCGCCGTAAGTCACTGTAAAATGAAAATCACACATGCATATTTTATTTGACATGTTATTAATACAATTTATCACTCCCTGCATACATATTTATTTCCCTGTTTAAGTTTTCACTCTGGGGTTCCTGGAAATAAAACACCATACACTTTTCACTTGGAAAGACCAGAAGGTACGTGACGCTACTGCTTCAGTCCAAGTCCGTGGGAGACGTCACTTATCAACCCCGCACTCTTTCCTCCTGAGCTGGGCGCAACCTCAGAATCCTTCTCCGTCCTGCATTCCAAGCAGAGTGAGAATCACTTGGAGTTGGCATGGGAGACGAGGTCTAGTTGCCACTCCTCAGAAATTCTTGGCTCAGAACTTTCCGACTCCACCTCCAACCCTGAATGTACACCAGATCCCTGCTGTAGGACATCTTCTGCCTTGGGGGTTCGTTCTCCCATTCAGTGTAACCCATCGGAAGCTCAGGCATCGTTTTCCCTCTTCCAGGCAGCCCTCCCTCCCAACCTCCTCTTCTCTATTAACGGCTTGCCGTTCACCTGGTCCTCAAGGCTAAACAGTTCAGGGTTTTCTGATGCCTCCAAGCCTCTGGGTTCTCCCCTTCTCGACTCCTGTGAACACCCCCATCCTGTCACTCTCTTCCTCTCACTGTTTCTCTGATGGGTCCCCGCTGCCCAGACCCCGATGGTGCCCATTCAGGCCTTTAACAGGCTGGCCGCCGCGTGGAGGAAGGGCAGGGTGGAAGGTGAGCCTTCAGTTGTAAAGCCTCCCAGGCTAAAGGGGATTTTCGCTGTTCTGAGCTCCCAGTCTGGGTGCCTCCTTAGGACAGATACTATTTTCAACACATTGGAGACACAGGAAAATAATGCCAACTGGTTCCACGCTCACACAGCTGCTGTCACGTCCCAGCTCCACGCCTTCGGTGACCCTTCCTCCCTCTCTCCCTGCTTCTCTCCTTTTCTTCCTCCCTCCTCCCCTTCCTTCCTTCCATCAAAGGTTTATGGAGCGCCTTTTGTGTACTAAGCAGAGGTCTCCACGTTTATAAAGTGGGATATTTGATATAAAATAGACAGCCCAGAGCCTGGGACAGAGGAAGTATGAGAAACACAGTTGGGGGAAAGGCTGGTTCTCAGACCTAGAAGTGCACCCGGAAGTTGCCTGACCCGTCTCACGTCACAGGGGAGGAAACAGGCCCAGAGCAGCTGTCCAAGCTCCCTGCCCACGGCCGGGCAGAACTAAGACGAGAAGCCAGGTGTCTCAGCAACAACTCGGTGACTTTTTCCTGCCACCATGACGGCCTCCATGAGGAGGATGGTTGCCCTTGGTTATGTTTCTGATTGAAGAGATGAGGCTGGACTGTGACCCCAGAAGCCAAAGTCACACCTTCTTCCACATTGGTACACACAAGCACAGTGTGAGACTGTCCTGAGTGGAGTCCCTAGGAGGCAGCCAGGGTGGACCACTGACCCAGCTCATGGGGGGACAACCAGTGCTGTTTCTTCCGGAATGCCTCCTTCATCTGCAGCGGAGACCCCCTTCTCCCCTGGCACCCCACAAGCCAGGCCTGCAACCCCCGCCTGCAGCACTTCAGAAGCAGCCCAGAGGGCTGCTCCCCTCACCCCTGCACTGAGTTAGTGCAGCCCCGCCCCATCACAGTCTCCTAAGGAAGAGACCGAGGAGTCCTCCACATGGCCCTCAGACTGAACTCCCTAAAATGTAACTCCCAGCATGTCCCGCCTTCTTTGTTTAAACCCTTTCCCCGCCTCCCTCTCCAGCCCTCCTGCTCTCTCAGCCATCCCTCATGTGCTCATACTACCGCTTAGGACTGTAATCACCATTTCCACCTTTTCACTTGAAAGATATTCCATGAAACAAATAAAAAACAGGAACAAAACAACACACCTCCGCTGAGTTAGAGCATGTGGGTTATAAATGGGAGATAATCAACTACATCAAGCATAAATAAATAGAATTGTTTGGATGTTATAACTAGAAATTCAGTTGTGGCACCAGCTTCAGGCATGGCTGGAACCAGGGGCTGAAATGATACCATTAGGATTTTTTCTGTCTTTCCACCTGGCTTTAACCTCTGCTCATCTTGTCTCCTTTTGTCCATTGGCCACTTCCCACAGGTACTTCTTTATGTCCAAAGAATATGGTCATAAGTAGCCTCAACTTTTATCATCCTCATAGCCAGATCTAACTTATCCAGAAGACACAGTAGATGCAGCACCTTGGGCTCACAATACTTTGAGGGGCCTGCAAAAATGTCTTAATTTCTTTTAAAGTCAGAAGAAAAAAATGAACTATTAGTTGAAGAAAACGATTTAATCTCTGATATTAATGCATTCATTTTTATACAAATGTAGTTGTAAAATAGAATTTTTAACTTTTTTATAGAGAAGAGATGAAGGCCAAAGTGCTTAGGGCCCACAAAAGTCACGATAATGCGCTGTTTGACTCTTAAAAAGAGAGCCCTTGTCAGTTTCCGTGTGTGAAATCTATGGAAAACTCTGGTCCTGATTAAATCATATCCCAGAACAAGTCATCCTACCTGGAAGGGGGGGAGAACTTTGACTGGCCCACCCCTGAGGGGAAATATCAACCTCACACAGTTACAAGGAATGCGGTTTCCTGTAAGAAAAAGGATTCCATTTCAAGAATGTCCACCAAAATCTGACTATCTCCCCTAAATGGTCTCCCCTGCTGAGACCTTGCCCAACACTTTCACCAACCCCAGGAAGCATAGTTGCCACCACCTCCACACTTCCTTAGTAGCTTGCTCTGGTGTGATTGTTCCTGATGGAATGACAGAGTTTCCTACCCTGTGGTGTGAGCACCTTGAAGACAGAGTGAAGGAGTAGGCAGTAAAACTCCCATCTATGGGAATGAACAGAAAGAGGGGTTAGCCTACTTAGCGGTGTGAGGAGACCTTTGATCTGGGTCTTAAAGGCTGGAAATTTTCCTGGAGGAAGGGGTGTTTTAGCTGGGTTTAGGGATGAGAGAGGGCTCCAGAGGACAGAAAGAGGCAAAAGGCACCAGAATGGGAAGGACTTGGGGTGTAGAGAAGAACGTGGCAGGAGATGAGCTGACAGGAGCAAGATCACAGGATGGTGCGTGTGTGGGACACGAGTGACACGTAAAGGAATTTGGATTTTATCCTGCAATCCTAGACTCTTAGCCTCAGTCCATGGAGGGGCTATAGAGAGCCTGAAATTGAGCGTGAAATGTTGTGTCTTGGTGCCTTTTTCTCCATGGTTTTCATCAGATTTGTAAAGGGTTCTCTGTCTTAAAATGGTTAAGAATCACTAGTAACATAGAGGTATTCATGCTTCCAGAGGGAGAAGTGCCATGCTCTAGAACACAATCAGAACAGTTGTCTGGCTGCTGCTCTGTGGAGGATGGGCTGAAGGAGGAGTAGAGGCAGGGAAGTCTGTTTCAAGAGCCTTAGGAGAGGACATGGGCTTAAAATAGGGCAGTTAATACTGAGAGGCGCAGTTGGAATTAGATGTTGTAGCAGGACCATTAACAGGTGCCTTCTGCAGGGTGGGGGTGATTGAGAGGAGGAGGAAGTGAGACCAAGACTTTTAAGTGTCTTTCATGATCTTGTCATAGGGTGGTTAACAGATTATCTCTTACTTTGATGATTGATTTTTATTTCCTTCTCCCATTTAGAAGATGTCTTTTTGAAAATTGAAATCATTTAATTTCAAACTTAGAATTTCTTTAAGGGTTAACATCTCTGATATACACAAATTTCCACTTTCTGCTTTTCCTTTGAGTGCAATGTTGCCATTGAGTCCTGTACTATAATAACCCTGTGGATCTATTTGTGAAACCTATTTCACTCGGTTTTCAATGCTTAGAGAACTTTTAAAGCACACACAGGAATATCAAGGCTCTCTGCTTTTCTAAATCCTGACTTTGACGCCCTCCACAGCTACCCGCTCCCTTCCCCAGGGCTCAGCAGCTCAGACCGACTGCCTTTCGGCCTCGAGGAGAATGGGGGCACACCGTTCACTACCAAAGCTTCGGGAAGGCACCACCATCACCACCACCAGCACCAGCACCACACGAACTATGGCCTCTCGCTGACCCTGGAGAACAAGGAGGGGCCTCTGAGGTCCCCAAACTCCAGCAGTAAATCCCTCACAAGTGAGTAGGAGTTTAGGGGGCATGGTGCGGGGAGAGATGCTGCAGGGCGTGGGTGAATTTCCTAGATGCTCAAGATGGCCCCTAGCCGTACAGCAGAAGGGGGGTTATGTCAGTGCTGGGCTACTGGGTCTAGGCAAGAGCAGACAAGAGCCTTGTGCAGTTAGGCAGGGGCTGCTTAGGGATGATGGTTCACCAGTAAACTGATTTCGTGAGAAGGGAGCAACTGTCTCTCTACCTCATTCCATGCCAGTTCTCTGCTTCTGCCATATCCAGCACTGGCTCGAGCAATGGAACGGAGACAGAGGGGAGTGAGGTGGTTGAAATCTGTATTTTCCAACCATGGAAAACCCCTTCTGTCCCATATCTGACAGCCCATTTCTGAGAGCAAGGTGTCAGATTGATGCACTGTTACAGGTCCCAGTGAGAGAAGTTACAGAAATGGAAAGTAAGCAAGTAGAAACGTTTTAATCAATATGACAATGATTTTATATGTCTTGAAACCAATTAAAATGAGGGCTTGGGGTGGGGAGGGTATAGCTCAAGTGGCAGAGCGCATGTTTAGCATGCATGTTTAGCATCCTGGGTTCAATCCCCAGTACCTTCTCCAAATATAAATAAATAAATAAACCTAATTACCTCCCCCTCCTAGAACAAACAAACAAGCCAAAAGTGTGGGCTTGGATTTTGTATGCCTGTTATTTTCTTTTCATAGAAAATCACTTTTATTATGTTTTACCAGAGAATTGATCTGTGACAGGCTGTGGGGGAAGAACTTGTTCTTTATCACATATGGTTTGAAAAAGCGCCGAGGTAAAGGCTTGAGTCAGGAAGCTTTGATTCCTGGCCTCACTGTTGAGCCAAGTCCCTCCCCTCTTGGATCCTCGGTTTCCTCATCTATGAAATGCAGTGGAGGGTATTGAGATGATGGCCAAGGAATCTTCCAGGTCTGATATTTCATGAGCCTGTGAGCCAGTGAAAAAGATGAGCCATTGAGCCTTCACCTGTAGACTCTGGGTAACAATTCTGGGTTGGCTGAGCTAGAATTGGGAACTTATCATCTACTTGGTGTTGAAAAATTAGCACTCTGTCCCCTTATCACTGTCCACGCTTCCCTTGCCCTAGGCCAGGCCTCATCCTTTTGGATCTGGATAACTCTAACAGCCCACTAAGGGACACCTCCTCCAGCGCAGTCTGCAAATTGAAACTATCAGAGCGGGAGCACTTACCAGATAGCTTTGACCAAATGCCTTAGGACCTCTGCATGGTGCTTCACTGTCCTGGGATAAAGCCAACACTTCTGAGCTTGGCCCCAAGTAGACCTTCACAGCCTGGCCCTGCCCAGGTCTCCAGCCTTCCCCCACACTCCTCACTGCACTCCAGCTGCGTGGAATTGCTCTCTCGTCTCATTAAACACTGGGCCATGTCCCAGCGCTCTCCTTTGCATCTGCTCTTCCCTCTGCCTGGAATGCTTTTCTCCACCCTAGTGAACTCCTACACATCCTTCAGGAACCAGCTCAAATGTTGTCAGTGGAGCTTTCTCTAACACCCCTTCCCCATTCCTGGCTTTGGAGTGCTTTCCCTCTTACTCTGATACAATTAAACCAATCTTTGATCACTATTACTTGGAGTGTCTGCACAGGCATCTCTCTCCCGCACTGGACTAGAATTGTATATCATCTCTTTAGTCCAGCTTCCTAGATCCCAGTTGTTAACAATACTTGGCTCAAACATTTATATGTAAATGAATATTGACTATTTAATGTCGTAATGGGTCAAAACAAGCTAGTGGGAGGAATGGTAGTAAACTAATCCAACATGCAGAGATAAAAATCAGTGAATTTGATTTCAGAAACATAACATGGTTTCTAAGAGCACACTCGGCTGTCTGTTAGCCTGAACAGTTAGCATAGTGCTTTCCCATTAATCAAGCATTTGCACATGAATTACCTCACTTAATATTCACCACAATCCTGCAAGGTACGTAATTTTATTTTCATTTTAAAATGGCTCAGCGGCTCAGAGAGGTAAAATAACCTGCCCAGGGCCATTCAGCTCACACATGGGGGAGCTAGGCCTTGAAACCTTGACCTTAAATGTTCTCACAGCCCATCTGCTAGTGCATCACTGAGGGATTCAAGCTGCCAGAGGAAGAGCCAGGCAGAAAGGCCCTGGGGGTCAGGCTCTGACAAGCACCTTTTCTCACCTGTATTTCTCTGCACTTTCAACCTTTCCTTGTTCAATTGCCGCTGGCCACTTGTAGAACTGAGTCCCGGAGCACCTGCCCTGTTCAGCGAAGCCGCTGCCCATCTAAAGAAGCTGGAACTGGAAACTGTGAAGTCTGCTGGACCCTGGCCTGCTCTACACATCAACATAAATAAGGTGCCAAGGACTGGAGCTGGGCGACGAACATGGGCCTGGGGTTCATGTCAAACCTCTGATTATTACCCTGCCTGCCTCCTAAACCCTGTGCCTTTGTCTTAGAGGGATTTTTGGCTCAATCTTTCCTGACAGTTCTGTTCAGTGTGTCTCTTAGGAGCAGACAGTCACCTAGAGTCTCTTTGGGTGAATTTCAGCACTAGGCGCTGCCCACGGGGCTGAGGCCAACAGGCTGGATGTGTTAGTGGTCTCTCCGTCCTTCTAACTGAATGTTTCATGAGGGAACCATCCACATTTTCCATTCTATGCCTCTGTATTCTTCTCTACAGGCTGCTATAACACATAACCATAGACTAAGTGGCTCAAACATCAGACATTTATTTCTCACTGTTCTGGAGCTGGGAAGTCCAAGATCATGGTACCAGCTGATTTGGTTTCCCAGTGAACCTTCCTGGCTTGTACCTTGTAGGCTTCTCACTGTGTCCTCACTTCCCAGAAGAGAGGGCTGTTTCTCTTTTCCTCTTCTAATAAAGCCACTAATCCATGATAAGGGCCCCACCCTCATCACCTTACCTAAATCTAATTACTTCCCAAAGGCCTTATACCCAAATACCATCACAATGGGGATTAGGTCTTCATACATGAATTTTGGGAAGATACAATTCAGTCCATAGCATCCTGGCACATCGTAGATGTTCAGGAACTGTTTGCTAATGGGAGGAAGGGAGGGGCTTGAGTAGGGAAGGAGGGTGAGAGGAAGGGGTGGGGTTGAAGTCAAGCTCTCTTTTGGCTTCACATGTTTTCTATCCAAATAGGCAGCCTTTTAGAAGCCAAGTCTTATCTTAGAACTACAGAAAGCTGGTTCTGGATTCAGTCTATCATTTAGTTCAGACTTTTCAACACCTCAGACCAGAGGACAGGAAATGGCCCTCTCAAGGTCACAGAGCAGAGGCTGACTCCTTGGGCCCCTGACTCCTGGTCCAGTACCCTTTGCTCTCCAACATGCTTCTTCGTTTTCTACACCAGGGTTTCTCAACTTTGGCCTAGTGATATTTGGGGCTGATAATGTTGTGAAGGGGCTGTCCTGTGCATCATGGCCTCTACTGGCTAGATGCCAGCAGCACCCCCCACCCAGGACTGACCACCAAAAATTGTCTCTGGACATTGCCCAGTACCCTCTGAAGGGCAGAATTGCCCCTGGTTGAGATCTGCTGTTGCACACATATTTTAATTTTTTAAATCCTCAGATGAACAGTCTTCTTTACTCATGGATCATTTTTTTCCATTCTAATCCTTAGCTTTGCCCCTTTATAAGAGGGACTAGGGAGGATATGGAAGACCTGGCCCAGAAAGCACCCCCTCCTTACCGGCACTGATGAACATGGGAAGGCTACACCTCCTATCTGGGCTGTTCCTCCATCAGTGACACCCCTCTGGCCCACACTAGGCTTCCAGGGTTTCTTAGAAGGCCATCCACTCCCTTGCACTCCCACACCCCAGCAGGGCAGCCTAAAGTCCCTCTGATCACTAAGGGGCCCCAACTTCAAGGCCCTGTTCACCCACCAGCGAATTCTCACCAATAAACATGTAATTTACATTGTTTACATAACCATGGCATTCTGTATTCCGAACATGTTTCATGCAACACGGATTCCTCAAACATGCATTTCTGAGTTGTGAACATGCGCATGACTGATGTTTCAATCGTTTTTTCTTCTATACCACCCTCCCTGATGGCCTACTGGAAAGAATTCTTCCTGCAGGACGGCACTTACATTCATTCAATCGATAAATCTGTACTGAGCAGGCCCGTGCTAGGCGCTGGGGCGTCAACCCAATGCATTATGTGCCCCGGGTTGGTCTTCTTTCTCTTTGTCTCTTGGTTTTAAACTTTCATTCTGCAGTTCACGCAATAAATCTCTTTTACAGGGGCTTACCTGGAGTTTGGCAAAATCCAAACGTATTTTGCAAGGACATACAGCATATAGTAGCAGAGAACTCACAAGCTCTATATAATTTGTAGTTGCCATGGATATTGGTGGGACATCAACAGTAGTGGCTGGCTCTGGGTTAAGATGTAGCTAAGACCACTGTGAGTTACTGACCGTTTCCATGGAGCTCAAGCAATAACGCCCCTCTCTTCTCCTCCACTCGAAGAAATGCATCAGAGACCATATGGACTAGAGTGATGTCAGATAACCTTGACTCTGTCCTAACACACAAGCAAAGAATATTACTTTACACTAGGATTCTTTATCATTAATAAAACAATCCTTGCAACAGACTTCACAGCTTATCATGAAACCACAGTTGGGAACCAATGATTTTGATGGCTTTTAAGGTTTTTCCCAGTCTCGAGGATCAAGAATCCTGATTCTTCTAAGGTTTGGATACGTTAATGGTAAGAAGACATTTTCATTGCCTAGTTCCAAAGTTTTACCCAAAATTATCACAGGAATTTAAATCTCATCAGATGTCACACGTGTAAACAATTTGTATAAACGATTGGAGACTGCATCTGATCGTTTCTTTATCCCAGAATGACATCCCCAACAGAAGGACCGTTTCCAATTATAATACTATCAAAGCCCAATCATCATTCATTTGTATGTTTTGAAATCTGTATTTCCATATTGAATGATAAATCCTCTTTCCACAATTCAAACTGAATATAAAATACAAAATATGGTCATGCAAGACAGAGAAAGCGCAGCATTCTTGCAGCCATCCTCCAGGCGGGAACTGTGCTCTTGTGGTATGTCCAGAAGTTTATCCCTCACAGAGAAGCCTTTCATGGAAACACATTCATGTAGTGTTAGTCAGATTTTCCAAAATTTATGTTGGTCTTCACCTGAGTCAAGTCATAGAGCTGAACAATGGCTCCTACTTTGTCAGATAGAACGAGAGGAAGCCAGCTTGAATTTTATATACAAAGAACATTTTAGAATTACTAAATTCAAAGGGGAAATCAGTGCTAAATTCTCACTCTTACTTTAGCAGCACTGAATTTTTTTTTAAAGTAGGTCTTTGGTCATTACTGTCAGTGTAACTATGCCCCGTAAGCAATTGTCAAAAACCTCAAATGGGCTTTAGAACTACTTTAAGTCTTGAAGTCCAGCATATCACCCAAAAAATTAAATCTAATTTAAAAACTAACTCTTCATACACCAGTGAAAACACCCATGCTAGTATTAAATGATTATCTTAATGTTACAGGATTTACAAACAAGATAAATTATCCTAAGGCTATACTGGAAAGCTCATCTTTCGAAATAAATAAGTTACTTACTTGATTTTTTGGAGAATGCTAAGTCTCTTGGGATATTGACTCCATTCAAAAAAGTCTGTTATCTTTATACCCAACTTGATGGCTTAGAATCACTAGCATCCTCCTATCTTTGCTCTCTTTTTAAAAAGATATATATTTTTCTAACCATAGAATCTAACATGAAAGTTCCATTCATCTGGTTTTTCCTTCATGTAATTATCATAATAACCTTATGAGAAAAGAAACTGAGTCTCAGAGAAGTTAAGGGAAGCTGGTGTGGCTGGGTGGTCACGGCTCTAGCTTTAGAGTCACCCCGTCCTGGGTGTAGATCTTGGCTCTTCTGTGTGCTTCCTGTGTGACCGTGGGCAAGTGACTTACCATTGCTCTGCTTTGTTTTTCTCACCTATGTTATGGGGATGGTGGTAGTGTCTACCTTCAAATGGGATTGTTAACTGAGACGGATTCAATGAGATGTGCGTATGAAATCCTTAGTCAGTGCCTGGTCCATATTCAGCTCTCAGTAAATGTGAGCTGTTGGCATTATTTTTCTTTTCTTCTTCTTCTTCATCATCATCATCTACTTCTTCTTCCTCTTCCTCTTCTTTTCTCTCTCCCCGTCCTCCTCCCTTCCCTCTCCTTCTCCTTCAAAAGCATCATCATCATCATCATCATCTTTTTTATGATGCTAGTAAGAAAAAGAGCTGAGATTCAAATCCAGGTCCTCTGTTTATCTTGATGTTTTGTGAAATTGCCGAGTTCAGCTTGTTGCACCAAGTGCCCTCCATGTGTTCAGAGGTCCCACGGGGAGACTGCATTCTGTGCCCTCTTTTCTTTATTCAGTGATGTCAACCAGCCAGTTGCCCTGTGCTTCCTCTAGGGCTTCCATACTACTCCCGCTCCATGTACCAAAGTGCTCAATAGGACGTGTGATTTAGCGAATGAGATTAATTTTGGTACTTGCAGAATTTGAGGCCTTTAGAACATTTTGTTCTTGCCCCGGTACATTGTGGCCAACGTGCCATATTAAGTCCTGATGTTACTAGGTTGACTTTCAGCAACTATGTGGTCGTCTAGCTTTCCTATTAAACACATCTCTTCCAATAATACCTATGTATTATTATGATCTTCTTCAATAAATGTTTATTGAGCAGCTGCTGTGTGCTGAGCACCATCTTAGCACTGGGACATGCAATGACCACAATAAGCATGGCTAACAATAAGATATTATTTCCCAGAGTGATGTGTGTCCCATCAAAGATGATTTCAAGTTATATACATGGATGAGTATTTTTGAATGGTTATGTCATTATCAAGACATATATTATAATAAATATGATAGTCACCAAGTCTATGATTTCAAAGATGTTCTTTCTTAGGCAAACTTATAATAGGTAGTCCCAGGGTAACCTTCCTTAACTGGATCATATGAATTATAGGTATGTGTTTAGTTAATGCATGAAAAATGGCAAAAACAGGAGAGGTAGAACCAGATTATTGAAGTCTGAGACACACTACAATGAGGCAATGAGATTTCCCATTGAGAATCACAATTTGCAGCAAGATTTATTGTAAAAATACTAGTGAATATTCTGTAGTCTTTCCCTTGACCCAGCAAGTCACAGAATTGAGCCTTTATGTGTCCGAAGTGGTAGTTATGGGGGAAGTGGCACTGCACCCGGGCATAGGAATCTTGGAGCTGAGTCCTGGTTCTGCCACTGGCTGTAGCTGTGTGAATCTGACAGAGTCTCTTCTCTCTGAACGTTCCTCATCTTCTGGCTCATGGGCTTTCTTATATGTCCTCCCTCTGCTTCACACAAGAATGAGAGGATGCACCTGTGAATGCTTTGCAACTAATAGAAGCCCTGGTACAACTGGGAGGAGCTGGTGACACTCTTGTCTGTATGTTCAGGTCTGTGCTATTTGCAGTGATGACTGATGGAAAGGGTAAAAGTATATGTTTTCTTTGTTTACCATCTGTTGTGTGTATTTTGGTTCATCTCAGGCTGAAGAAAAAAAAGTTTCTGAGAAGACTCTCCAGACCCCACTGTTGCCTTCCCCCAGGGCCGATCACGTGAAGTGTAACATTTTGAAAGCCCAGTTGGAGAATGCTTCCCGAGCGAGTGCCCAGGTGTGTGCCATGCACGTGTGCCTGCAGTCTCATGTCATAGGATTTCCTCTGTGCCATGCAGAAGAGAGAGGCACTCCAGGACTGAGATGCTGTGTCAGTCAGGGTCCAGCCAGGAAACAGGAACCACACCTGTTATGTGATCAGAGCTTTTAATATAAAGAGTTATTAACTGGGGTAGTTATTCGTCGGGTCAGTGAAAGGGCCATCTCTGTACACCATGTTGGGCATGAGGGCCACAGATAGCTGCATCTCGCATTGACTCCCAGCGTGTGTTCAGCTAGCCTAGCTGGCTGAGTGGGTGTCCCTGCCTTCCCCACCATTCTTTGTGGGACTCACCAGAGGGAGGAGGACAAGGCTTCTGTCAAAATCATATGACGTGACTCCTCCCCAGCTTGTTACACTGATGTGAAAGGACAGATTCTGAAGCCTTCGGTGGGCTGTGAGTGCTGTGGGAGCCTAGAGCTGATTATTATTCCTGATCTAAAATGTAAGGTGGGGGATTAAACTGTGGGTTCAGTTGTTCCCACACCATCCCTTTCTCATTCAGTCCTGAGCTGGCACTTGGCAGGTGCTCAATAGGAGTATGAATGTGAGCACTGATTGTGTTTGAATGATTAAGTGTTAATCCCCATGGAGGGGGAATGACTCAAGAAAACACTTTTTGTTGTTGTTGTTAAATTACATAAACACCAGAAAAAAAGTTGTTATTGACTGAGTACTTGATCATCTCTCCTCTCTGATACACCTTCACATTTCTATAATCCTCTGAATGGAGGAGACTTGAAAAGGTTTTTGCATGCCAAGATATTCAGTTTTGACTAACCTGCCTGTTTTCTTGAACAGGTTGGAAAAGAGGAATCACCGTTTGTAAATATCAGTAAGAAATCCAGTCTTCAGGACGCTAATGTAAGGTCTGTTGCTTCTTGTTTGAATGGGGAAACAATAGTATCATCAACATTAACCTCAAAGCATTACTCAGGAGGGCATTTGCTAATAAAATGAGAGGGAAAAGGAAACAGAGAAGGTGAGCCTGAAGAGAGAGAAAGACTGTCTTTTGGCGCGGAGGGGGAGTATAATTAGGTTTATTTTGTACTTAATAATTATTATGTCTTTAATGGTGGTACTGCAGATGGAACCCAGGATCTCATGCATGCTAAGCATGCACTCTACCACTTGAGCTATACCCTCCTCCAAAACAAGACTGTCCTCAACAACTTCCTTTATGTCTCAGAAATGCCGCTTATTCTCAGTCTTAATATTTCTACCTGCTGTACCGACAAAGAAATGACTTTGAGTTCCTTCTCAAGCATGGAGATCTGACCTCGTCATTTCCCTGCTTAAAGTCAGGGTGGAGTCCAGACTCCCTAACCGAGCACAGGGGTTCCTATATGACCTGGCTTCTGCTCGCTGTCCCAGCTCAGTTCATCGCTCTTCCCTTGGTCCAGTGACATGCTCCTCATCTGAGCCCCCTGAAGTACAAGAACCACAAATGTTCTTTAAAACCTCCAGGCCACCACCAACCCAAACCCAGAGGAAAACCTTCCTTTCCTGATCTCATAGAAACACTCTTCCCCTCTCAGCCCAAGTGAGTAACAACCTTCAATCATGGCAGCCCCATCGACATTGACAGTCTACTAACACTGGTGGGGTCTCTCTAGGATTGAGTTCCCTAAAATGGGTTCAAGGAGAACTGCATCAGTATCTTGTTAAAAACAAAGACTCAAGTCTTACTCCAGATCCTTTGGCAGGGAGCGGGGTGGGGATAGAGAGAGTGTCGGAGGAGGGGAGGGGTGAGGAACAAGAATTTCAACAAGCACCCCCGGTGACCTAGGAACCATTGCCCCGGGGCATTCTTACACCCAATGCTAAAAATAGAAATGAATACTTCTCTATGTCATCTTATGATGCCTGGTCTATGTTCTTGATATAAATTTCTCTCACCCCAGAGGCACATGCCCAGCTGCCTCCTAGGCTTTTGGAAACCTTAATTCATCTCTTCCTACTCTGTCCTGCTATCTCCACCAGTTTTCCAATCTTCGTTAATGTATGTGTTTAAGTGAAGATACAATTTTCTAACTACATCATTTTCTACAATGCAAGTCCTGCTAATTTGACTTTCATGTTATCTCCCACATCCATCATCTCCTCCTCATGACCCTAAGCCCAGCCTTCCCCCAGCAACTCACCATTTCTCATCTTGGATAACCACTATTATAGTCTCCTAAGACGCTCCTGTCTGGCCTCCTTTCACCAGCATCCTCTTTGTTGCTCTAAGGTCCTTTCTAAAACGCAAGCGTGACCCCGCCACTCCCTTGCCTAAAAGCTTCAGTGACTGCCTTTGCCTTCATGTAAACAGCCTGAGGCACCGCATGCCCTGGCCCCTGCTTTCCCCTCTAGCTGCCATCCTCTGCTCTTCCGAGGAGGCCTCACCCATCAGCAGTTCCGGGTCTCCTCTCTGTCTCCCACCTTGGAAGTCTTTTCCTCCATCTGGTTACATGTAAACCCCTCCTTGAAGCTTTCCAGAGGCCAACCATCCCACCCAAACAAGTTACGTGCTCCCCGCTGTGTTCTTCCGGGGATACGTTCAGTTGACGATGGGGTCCCAGCTTAGGAAACCACGAGCCTGGGATGCGTTGACTCCAGTCTCGTATTTGCTCATTCACGTGTTTATTTAACAAGCTTTTATTGGGCACTGGCCACGTACCTGTCACCGTATCAGGCACTGAGCAGAGGGGACAATGGAGGCCCAGAAGTGTTAATTGACTTGCTAGAGGCCCCTTGCTGAGAAACTCAACTTGTTTTGATGGTTGTTGGTGCCAGAAGGTAATTTCTGATCTTATAAGTGAAATTAGTTCTGATTACTAGAAAAAATGTGTGAAAGCTTTTCCTTAAAATCCCTGTTTCAAGTGTGCGCATTGGTTATCTGGCGTATTTTCTTGAGAGAATATAAAAGTAAAACTTCAACTTTTAACATTTTCACATGGACATAGAATTAAAATGTTTTATAACGAGTCTTAAAGGTCTTCTGATTATGCATTTTCACATGAAATCGTCTATCGTTTTTTTCTCTCTCCATTTAAAAAATATATTCTGTGCTATGTTTAAAATAACATAGTTACCAGATTTCTTGGAAGTAAAAATGGGTTATCCACAGGTTCCTCTTTACTCATTTTACTGGAAAAACCTGGTTATGAACCAAAATCTGTTATTGGGAGTGAGTGTTTTTTTGCCAGGGAAATTTTATGTGGTACCTCAATTATATTTTGTTCCTGCGTGCTGTGTTTTTTCCCTACGGTTTTGTTTTTGGTTTTGGATAGTCTGTGGTATTTTTAAATAATTATATGTATTAAGAGTGAAGAGGAGGGAAAAAATGGATGTCTTGACTATCAATGTTATTAAAGTATAAACTAACTGAGAAAACAGTCCCCATAGCCAAAGCCAGACCATAAACCTTTTTGTCGGTGTTGCTCTGCTTTTCTGGTGTGTCTCTAGAAGTCCTATTCCTATACGTGTGGAAACTACCCAGCCAGCAATGGAGAAGCCGGAAATCAAGCCTCCCCGAGTGAGGAAGTTAACAAGACAGTACAGCTTGTGAGTTCCATGCTTCAAGTTTTTCAATGATAACAACAACGTTGATGCTCAATGTCCAGTTATAAATGCTTCTCAGCCCTTCACACCCTTCCCAAAGAGCCATCCCCCAAATATAGTCTGTTTCCAATTTAAGTCATAGCAGGACTAGATCTTTCTCCCTGAAAACATAACATAGTTGGCATATGTATTCATTGTTGATTGCTGTGTAACAAATTACTCCAAAATTTAGTGGCTTAATTAAAACAATCCACATTTATTACCTCACGGTTTCGGTGGGTTGGAAGTTCAGGCATGGCCTAGCTGGGTCTTCTGGGTCAGGCTCTCTCTTAAGACTGCCCTTCAAGCTGTTGGCAAGGGCTGCAGTCTCATCTGAAGGCTCATTCTTGCAGTTTAGGGCTGTTGGACTGAGGACATCGTTCCTTGCTGGGTGTTGGCTGGAAGCTACCCTTAGTTCCTAGTCACATGGACCCCTCTCTTACTTTCTCCACTGGAGAAAATACACAAGGAGAGCCAGAGAAAATGCTAGGAAGGCAAAATCACAGTCTCGTATAACCCAGTTGCAGAAATGACATCCCATCACTTTTTCCCTATTCTGTTCACTAGGTCCAGCCCACACTCAAGGGGAGGGCTTACTCAGGGGCACAAATGGCAGGAGAGGAACCATGGAGAGCCCCATGGGATGCTGCCTCCGTGGTGCCTTAGCGAAATGGTAGCATTGTCTGTCAACAGAGCCACAGCTGATCACTGAACTATAGGAGGAACCATGTTCCCGTAGGAGGAGCCGTTCCTGTAGGCTATCCAGTTCTGTTCAGCTTAACAGAACTTTCCTGGTTACCTTGTGCACAGGGCTGTTCTATGCACCAGCGGGGGGACAACAAAAGACTCTGACATCCCCCGTGCAAGGACTCACAGTTTATTAGAGGGAGAGACAGATGGCAAATAATTATAATCCAGAGAAGACGGGTAAATGCTGCAGTAAGGGTGGAGGTATATTGGTATAATCAGCATGGTAGTTCCCATTTCCTGACCTCACCTGTGGCCCAGGCATCGTGCCTGGGTGCATAATTGGTCGGAGAGCTGCAGGGGAGGGGGATCTTTGGTTACAGTGAAAAGTGAGGGGCTCTGGAGTTAGAAAGGCTTCCGGTTTACTGCTGAAAGCTCTTGGGAAAATTACTCTTTGAACGTCTCCTTCTTCATCTGTTAAATGGGTGAGAGTTTTGTGAAGGTGAACATAAGATAATGTGGGTAAAGCCCTAGCTAGGGACCAGGCTGAAGGATGAGTTAGTTCCCCTTCCTTTCTTCTTATTGGAACTGAAGCCTCTGAAAAAGTTCAAGTTTAGGAGGTACCAAGAGTACAAAATGTAAGGCAAGGCACATCACTCCAGATGCAATTCTCAGACAGCCTCTGCAGGCTTGCCACTTGCACCCTGTGGACAGGAGAAGGGGGAAGGTTTTTCAGGGCAGACACATCCTACCTCATTAGCCTTACTAGGAATTTCTGCACAGTATAGCAGCTGTATTTCCTAGGAAAGCCAAAATGAGTAAGATTCAAATAATTAACAGTCCTAATGATCTCTGGGGGACAAATTAAACCATGAAAATCTGCTCCCTTGAGGATAACGCTGGCAGGATTAACCTTTCCTTTTACATTTCAAAATTCAAAATGTTATTATCACCCATTTGGGATATGTAATCACGTTGGAAACAATGGCTAAGACATGGCCTGGAAGGAAAGAAAAATTAACTAACTCACCAAATTGCTTCTTTTAAGGAAACTTTTTTCAAACCTCTAACTTTACGTGTGTATTTCTTAAGATACCCCCAAAGTATTGTGCTTTGAAAAATCAAAGAATGGGAGAATGTTTCCCATTAGTAGCCAATAGCAAAACTGATGGATGGGATTTTCCCAGTTTTAACTTCATGTTCCATGAATAGTTATTGTGTTGTCAACACTGGTTACCGCTTTTGCTCATCTTTTCCACTCATAGATAGTGATAAAGTTAATAAACACATGGTTAAGGAATACAAATGGAAAAAACTCAGATTTTCCATTTCCTAAAAAAATAATTCTGCATTATTATTTTTGAGGTGTGAGGGTTTGTGTGCACATAGCTTTTTTAGTGGTTACAGTATTCCTAGTTCCTAGGCTGGAATTATGTGTTTGGGTTTTAGGGTACTCCATCAAAAGCATCATGATGTTCAGGTGCTTTGAACAAGTTTTCAAGTTGCTGCTTTTTAGGATATAAACAAAAACCTGAGCTGTGTTCTTTTCTCAAAACAGTACGTAGGGAGGAAATGTGTGACTGCTGTGTGCAGAGTGAAGGGAGAATCAAAGAGTTTAAGGCAGGTAAAGGAGTCATCTTTATATTGATATCAACTGCTATATTTAGAAAATGATGAATTGCTTTATTTTTTCTTGGAAATATAACATTACTATTTATTTAAACATAGGATAAGAGTCTAAAAGTATTCAAGCAAGACATAGAAGTCCAAAGGGCAAAGGAACCAATTCCCTAGAATCACGCCATCAAAACTAACCGATGTTCACATTTATGACTATTTCTCTAGACATTTTTCTATGCATACATATTGTTAAAATAGAAAGAAATCATTTCAAAAAAAGGACTCACACTGTGCATAAAATGTTACTTATTAAAATGTTGTTTCATGAGTTTGACATGAATTTACCTCAGAAACCAGGCATTCCTCATAAATTGCATTGACAGCATAAACTATCTGGCCTGGCCCAAGGTCTCAGGTGTGCAGAGACACGCTCATCCGGCAGGATATTCCCAGGACCCGGAGGTTCTCCCAGGAGCCTGTCAGTGACCGGTGGTTCCTTTGGAACGGACAGGGTTTGAGCACCTGGGGCCTGCTGAGTCAGCCCTTTACCGCACAGGCAGCAATCTGGTTGGCCCTGGGGGACAGGGAACTTGTCTTAATTTCTGTAAGTCTGAGAAAATACTACTCACACTAAAGGTGGGGGATTGATGGTGCTGTCCTGTGCTGGGAGCATCAGATCAGAGGGGCTTCCAGCCTTGACATACCTTGTGGGAAGTCCAGCCTTCCCCACAAATTCAAGCCCTGAGAATGAGCCCTGGGTGCCAGCCCAGACTTCTCCTTCCTCGTGGTGACTTCCTATCTAGTGTCATTTCCATCCTGGGTCATCCCACTCCATCAGACAGGTTTAGAGACCAGAGCTGCTTGGCGCCAAGACAAATGTGCCAACTCCTGCTCTATAACCGGTTTATCACACCAAAGAGACAGTTGCTGTCAGGCCACAGAAGGGTCCATTACACTCTTTGCTCAGAACAGTCGGTCCCTACAAGTCTTGTATTTACTCTCCCAAGGGAGGCTACTCAGAATAACATCCCTTGGTTTGGTAGTTCTTCAAAAAGTTAAACATAGAACTATCATATGACCCAGGAATTCCACTCCTAGGTGGAATTGAACTGAAATACATAAAGAACTGAAAGCAGGGACTCAAACAGATGTTTGTACACGAGTGTTCATTGTAGCACTGTTCACAATAGCCAAAAGGTAGAAACAACCCAAGTGTCCATCGAAAGATGAAGGAGTATACAAAATAAAGTCTATCCATACAATGGAATATTATCCAGTCATGAAAAAGGAGTGAACTTTTGACTTACGCTACAACATGAGCAGATCTTGAAACATTATGGTCAGTAAAATAAGCCAGATACAGAATGACATTCATTGTATAATTCCACTTATATGAGGTACCTAGACTATTCAAATTCATTCGGACTAAAGGCAGTGTGGTGGAAGGGTATGGAATTTCCCCTTTACCCTTCTTGAGTTCTTGTGGCTGGACTAATAATAAAATTAAAAGACAGAGTAACAGGAGAAAAACAAATTTTGATTCATGCACCTGGAGGTCTCATAGAAATCGAACCTAATTAATAGCCAAAGCAGGCAGCTTTCATACTTTTTAGACAAAGAAATAATACATTTGTGAGGAATTGACAGGACAAAGAAACTTGGGTTTTGGGTGTTTAATTAGTGAAGAGTCTAAACAGAGTTTGTGCTTGGGGTAGTAACTTAAAGAAGCACAGATTTGTTTATAGAAGTCTTTTTGCCCGAATCCCCTATCTCTGGTGATAAAGGTGCCAGATGCAGGGAGTACACCTTTCACATGAGAGATTTATTTCCTGCTTCCAGGGAGACAGAGAGCAGGGTCAGAGTGTTGGCCATTTCTTAAGCAGTTTTAATTCAAAACAATCAATATGCCATTGTGGCATATTTTGGGGTGGCCCACCCTGAACCCCAACAACAGAACAGATGTTACTGGGGACTGTGGGGAGCGGGAGGAGGCAAAGGGGAGTTGTTCAGTGAGTAGAGTTGCTATTGGGATGAAAAACCAGTTTTGGGTGTAGACAATGGTAATGGTTATACAACATTGTGAATGTATTTAAGCCACTAAATTGTACAGTTACCAATGGACAAAATGATAAATATGTTTTACATTTTTTTCTTAATAAAAAAATTTTATTTTAATCCCTTGGCAAGTGACAGAAAACCCAGCCCAAATTTGCTTCAGCTAAAGGTCATGATGCTGGATCCTGTAAGCAGGACCATCCAACAGACATTGCTTAGGGAGCCCCCAACCCCCACCCTGGCCATCCCACCCCCCCCACCCTCCCTCCACTCCCCACAGCCTGTGTATTATTGTAATGAGCAGAGCTTCATGTGCTTTTAGTAACCGCAGTGATGAAGACGACCTCCCTCCAGACCTGGCCGAGGCAGTAGGAGCGACCACAGCTACAAGCACGGCCGCCACCACGGCCACCACCACACAAGTCTCAGCGCCACTGGCGTCCCCCAAGGTCCACAAAATCAGCTCGCCCCAGAATTCGGAAGGCAAGGGCCAGCTGTCCCCAGGGGCCAAGGTACGGGGAAAAGCCCTGAGGAGTCGCTGTGCTTGCCGGGAATTCTATATAAATTCAGCGCGTGGCATCCGTGAGCATTTGAACTTTGCATCATCAGTTCTGTGCACTCGTGAAACCACAGTGACAACCACCAAAGCATGTTTTTCTATAACCTGTCCCCCGAAAGATAAGTGTCTATGAGAGGCAAATGGTATAATATAAAAGCATGTACACTGTACTTAAAGGGAAATTTAGGAGGTTTTTAGAGGGCAGTTTTGATTTTAGAATTTCATCCCTTACAATGACTATTACTCCAGTATAAAGACAGGAAGTGAGAAATGCTTTTTACCCCGAATAATGGAAAATTTGGAGGAGTAAAAATGTACAAGAGCCTCCACCCCATTCCTTATGTGGGCTGGCCTGTGTTAATAGTTTGAAAATGGAAAACACTATTCTAGTTGTCAATTTGAAATTTCAGAAAATTGCCAGTGATGTGAAGGGGCTGTGACAAAGGTCTCACACAAGACGTTTCTCTTGGTTTTCTTGGAGTGACCCTCAGCTGTGGTCGCTCTTCAGCAATTGGTCCAAAAGCGGCCACATCTGTTGCATCCTAAACACATGCCGAGTCAAAGGTTGCTTGGTCTGTGGATCCCACTTGAGGAACAGGTGTGCAGGGGGTTGGGCCCCAAAAGGCAAGACCGGAGCCTGAGTCTGTTCCCAGCTGCTCCTTTTAAACACTTTGCGACTGCTTAAAACGAGCAATCACTCCATCGCCCTTGTTTCTCAGAGCCTCAGTTTCCTCCTCCTAAAAATGGGAGTAAGATCTGCTACCTGGCCCAGCTCCTGGGCTAGCATCAGGTCCGGTGGAGAGTAAAGTGCTTGTCCAAACTGGACGCCTGAGGCTTCTGCATCCCCAGGGATGACAATTCCTGGTACAGTCCTGCATGACCACCACCAGTGTCCCTTCCCAGGTCTCTGGAAATACCCCTGGGTTCCTCACCAGGAACGTGGCTGGACCCCTCAGCCACTGACCGGCCCAAACTGAGGCTCCCAGCACTACATCCCAGGCCATGCTTAAAACCAAGCAAAAACATTTACAAATCAGAAGGGAATTCGGTGGAGATGCAGGCAACATCCTACAGAGGCCACAGGGCGCCCTCTCCTGGCCATGTCTCTCCTAAGGTCCCTACTTGCACCAAGCTAATGGCACTTATTTTTTCCCCACAAAGGGTCTCTCAAGGTCATCCACGCTGCTGAGACCCTAGGGCAAGACAAAAAAAAAAATGTTTTTTTTCCAAAAGATGAACAAGACTGTTAAAGGTACCACTCTCCCACTATAAAGCTCTTCCTCGTTATTGTGCAGATGAGTTTAGCTCCTTGAGGTCCTCACCCCCTTGATCCAGGATGGGGTCTTTACTTTCTATATATTCAGAGGACTCTTTGACAGGTTCCTCCCCCAAAGGCCGAAGAGCACTCAAAGCATTTAAGAAAAATTGCAGCTTCCAGAAAGACTGTTCCCCACCCTACACCCTACTTCTAGCCATTAAGGTTTCAGGGAAAAAATTGGGATTTGGTCCCAACATTTTGTACCCCACTGAGTAAGGGTGCTCCGTGAGGACTGGCATGGTGATGAGTTCAGTGTCAGAAAGGGTGCAATGCCGCTGTCAGCCCAGCGCCGTCACTAACTGGGATGTTTCTGCCTGCCTTTGTAGAGCCCCTCTGACCGAGGAGGTGCCTTTACCTTGGAGCCAGGCGATCTCCTGATGGATTTCACAGAAGCCACTCCTCTGGTAAACTTCCCATTTTGCTAAAACCAGAAAAGCCACAGACCATAGAAACACCTTGGCAGTGGGACGGATGGACAGAGGTGGGCATCGCTGTGGGGAAGGCTCTTCCTCTTGTCCCACTCACAGCCCGGAGGCCCAGGGATCAGCTTTCTTCCAGGGTTTAGGCATCACGGGTCCCTCCACCTCCTGGAGCCCTGGAGGGCGGGCGGTGCTCTCTTTCCTCTGAGGGTGGTACAGGGGCCCTGCTGCCCGTCTGCTGCTCTTCAAGCATCGTAGGGCTCCTCTGTGCTTGAGTCTTGGCTTCTTGGCTTTCTGGGCTGTGCCCCGCATGCCCGCCCATGGGGCATCTCTTGCTGTTGCTTCCAACCACATGCTCTGGTCTAAAGTACCAGCTCAAGGCCTCACCTTGGCTTTCCAGGCCCCTCGTGCCTCCCTCCCATCCTCCATCCTCTGCATATGGGTCTCCCCTTAGGGGCGGTGGCCCTTGTGGGACTCCTACAGGTGAGAAACCCTTTCAAGGGAAGGAGCAATGGACCAGGAGTCATGCTGGCCAGACGTGGCTCCAATCTCTGCTCCTCATCTTAAGAGCCTTGTTATTGGATAGTTGCTGCCCCATCTTCTGTCAGATAAGGATGTCATCGTTTGCCCTGTCAGCCTCAGAGTGTTGTAAGGATCACATGAGAGAGGGTGCCTCAGAAGTAAAGCACCATAAATATGTCTAAGTTATTATTAATATTATTAGCTGACACAGGAAAACTTGGATGTATCTTTGGCTGGGCTCAGCCTCATACCCAAGTGTAATGAGCACAAATCATGGTCCACAGATTTGGCATGTGAGTCAAAATGTGAGCCAAATCAAAAACTATCTCCTGAGAACTTAACTATGTGCCTGGCCTTGTGCAAGGTCCTGAGTGCAAGGTCCTGGGGCAGCTAGAGGCTGCAGGAGGGGTTCAGATTGATAGAAGTTCAAGGTCAACAGGAGAGCCGTGGAGAAGATGCTTGGGGAGAAGCCAGAAGTGGGAGTCATTGAGGACTGGTGGGCTGGATGAGGATGTGGTGGGTGGGAAGGATTTAGGGAAGGCTTTAAAGAAGGGACAAATGAGGCAAAATGCTGTCCAGACTTTAGGAATATAATCACCGCTCCTGCCTCAGCTGGAACAAGGAAATCGTTTGTGAGTTATGCAGTCGCATTTCTTATGTGGAGAGCTGCCACCGTCTGAGAGCTTTGAGACAGCGCCTTTGGATAAACAGCTGAGAACTGACAGTGGGCGACACCCTGCGCTGGGGACCTGCAGAGTTACTCCCTTCCCGTGGTCAAGTAACTGGAGCTGGTTATGCATGGCCTTCTTGTTAGACGGCTCGCCAAGATAGGGTAACCTGGAAACACCTCGTCGCCCCTTTGCACAGATGGGGAGAAGCTGAGTCCCGGAGTGGAATAACCAGACAGGGGCCGAGCTGGAGCTGGAACCCAGGTGTCCTGGCTCCTTCTCTGGTGCCTTTTGCATCCTACTGGGCTAAATCAGGCCTCCTTTTTAGGGAACTTGTCACTTTGGAGAAGAGCAATGCCTGGAAGAAGGGCTGTGTTTAAAACACTCCCCGGACTGGGAAAGTAGGACAAAAGGCATGGAAGGAGGGTCAGCAAATTAGGCAGCCTGGGCCTGGTGCCACATCAGTTCCCCAACGGAGTATCCCAGCCAAGGCTTTACATGCTAGGAAGGCCATGCTGGGGAGATGAAGGCCAGAGCAGCAATCTGAGGACATCCAGTCTAGCTGGAGGGCAGCAGCCCTCCAAGGGATCCCAAGCAATCTGAGAACTCTTAGGGTACAACCTGAGGGCCTATGAAGGCAAAGAGGAAGAAAGCAAAGTTCCTCAGCCCATGATGAAGAAAACATGCCTGGCAGGAATAGAATCTAGGGGAGGAAGCCACCTCTCTAACTTAGGCTCTTGAGGACCTTCCAAGCTGCTGAAATATGCTGCAATCAATGTCATTAGAGAGTCTGTATAAACTGCTACTGCTTTGGGACCCTGTGCCTAACCCTGTCTGGGGGCACTAGGAAAAAGAAGGCTTTATGGTGCTAGGGTTTCAAAGTATGAGTAGGAGTTTGCCACATGGAAGAAGTGGACCAAAGCATTTCTATGCAGAAGGTACAGCATGAACAAGATACCGATTATTTATTGGAGGGTCTGGTGGATCTGAGAACTAGGGTTCATTTACAAAAGACTGAGCTCTGAAACAGGATCCAGGTGCTTCACTGCCCAGCCACAGGGCAGATGGTGTCCTTGGACAAGACACAACTGCCCACTTCACAGCTGAAGTTTGCAGTGAATACTTGTTCTCAGAATGAAGCATCCTTCATCTTGTTCGTGTGTGTCTGAGGCATGAGTGCATGTTCACAGAGCACAGGCACACAGAAGGTATGCTGGAGGGCTGGTATTTTGGTGAGAGCCCCCTCCATTGGAGCCTTCCTTGGCATTGTTGGCTTTGACCTTACTTCACTCTAGAGTCCTATCTCCATGAGTGCCGAAGGGTCCTAGAGAGGAAGAGGGACTCTAGCCGTCTGCTTCTCCCTTTGTCTGGTCCTCTTCCCTCTCCCTCCTCCATCTGTTCCTCCCAGCATCTCGGAAATGTGAGCTACAGCCCTCTCTGCCCTTGTTGTTGGGGTGATAGAGGGGCATGGCGTCTGAGTCTCCAAGGACAGCCAAGGAGAGACCAGACTTAGGGTCTGGGGCTGGAGGAAACTCCTAAAGCTGCAACACTGCCCTGGTTCCTTGGGCCAAAGCTGAAAGCGCAACGAACTAGAGAGAGGAGTGGGGCAGATTTTCTTGCCCTCATTAAACCAAGTTCCACCAAGATACTATTGGAGCTAGTTTAACCCTTATGATTCTTGACCCTTATGATCCAGTCTCTGCATGGAATGAAACATGATCCAAACAGCAGAGAATAATAAAAAAAAATTCAATCTTCAACTGTTCTTAAAATAATGAAAGAAGATTAAATGAACACCTCCCGGTAACACTTCTTGAATCTCCTTTCTTAATTCTCTTGCACCCTGTACTCCTCCAAGGACTTACCTTCTCAAATGCTCTGTAAAAACATTCCTTCTGGCTTCACTCTCCATAGCATTTCCCCTCTCCTTTTCTCAAACCTTTTCTTACCTAATCCCCAACTCGCTCATTACTTAGCAACCCAAGTCCTAAGCCCCTGCAGCTTTGCTGTTGGCCCATTCCTGGAATCTGCATCACGGGCTCTTCATGAGCAGATAAGAGTTTCTGCCTGGGCTGGGAGAGTGGGGGCGCGAGGATGGGAAGGGAAGAAGGCAAGCGAATGAAGACAGCACCCACTATCCATCTGGTGTTCTCTACAGGAGCGGGAGTGAGCACGTGCTCGGGGCTGTGGGTGTTGGTCGAGTGAGGGGAGTTGGAAGGAGGGCGCAGAGACATGTCAATTAATGTTGACACTGGAATGCAGGGTCCTGCCTACCCAGGGTCAGTCGTGCCAGCTTCCCGCCCTGGGTACCTCAGACCACAAACTCCCATGCCTCCAGTGCTCCTGATGCTTTCTCTTTGGGGCTATCCCTCCCGGATCCCTGTGCTTCATGAACCACTCACTCATCCCACTGCAGAACCAGTCAGAATCCATTATGGGTCAGGGAACTTCAGTCAGGAGTGCATGTGTCAGGGAGGAGACTGGCGTGGCCAAAGGAAGGCTGTGGAGGGCCCAGAATGGGCCCTGGATTGGGTGCCAGAATTGGGTTTCCATTTGCCCCAGTAACTTAGTTTAATTTTTAACCTCATTCTAGCAGGAGGGTAAGGCTTAATCTCAAGTCAAATCAGGTGCCTCTTCAGCCTCCCTGGGGTTTCATCATTCTTCTCCAGGGCACAGGGAGAGGGAGGGAAGTCTATTTAGCTCAAGTCGTCACCTGTTTGCTGATACAGCTGGGACATTCGCTGCTTCTCTCATGCCCCGTTGGGTGGGTGGAAATCACTGTACTGCTGGGATGTGAATCTCTGTCTGTTGGACACAGCACACAGCCATTCTGTTCTGGGGCCTGCCACCTCCCCGCCTCTACCTGAGCAGAGGGGTAAAAGCCCCCTGCTCTTTAATCCCTGTCCCCCAGCCCCAGCTGATGAAGGAGGGACACAGAGCCCCTTCGCTCAGCACTCACTAATGTCCACCTCTCTTCCCTTTCCCTCTGACTTATATCCCCTATCCTCAAACGGGCAATCTCTTTTCTTACCTGATGATGAAGAAGGCTTACACATTTTCACCATCATTTGTCTATACCGAAGTCTTTCTGTTCCCCCAAAAAGTCAGCTTCTGAAACTCAAAATCCATGTAGAATCTAGCTGTCTGAATGTAGAAAAGACCCAAGGAAGAAAGGAAATACGAGGAGAAAACGAAAATATTTCTAAACAGTGCCCTATTACATGTGTTATCTTATTTCCTGTTCATTTACTAAGACTCAAGAGTGTGGGAGCCCCAAGGATGTTCTTTTGTTTAATCCACTCAGATGTATTTAGAACTCTGAGTTTAAAATCTGAGTTCTAAATCTCCATTTAGAAACGTCAGAGATGCTTGTGGGATGGACTGACATTTCTTTACCATAAAAGTCCGATGCTGGGCAAAGCTTTAAGTCATCTGGTATAATTTTCAATTCAGACACTGGTGGTCAGTACACGTTTTGGCCTCAAGGCAGAATGTCCACGTTTCTTCATGATTTCTGCCAGTTTTTATTCTCTTCAAAAAGCACACATTGAGTGCCTGCTGTTATCTGCAGAGGCAAAGGCCTGGGGTCCCTGGTGTAGTTGATTCTGGCTGGGGCAGCGATGCACTGGGGAGTGGTGGGAAACAAGCCTGGAGGGGAGGCAGGAGCCGGCTTCACACAGGCCTTAGATAGCATCTTGTGAAACGTAGGGTTTATCCTGAGGACCAGAGAGAGCAGGGGAGGGGATTTTAAGTAGGCTGATGAAACTTAACTGCAGGTGACTAATATGGAGAATGGATTTAGAAACAATCAGCAAAAAGGTCTAGAGCCGTGGACTGAGACTTTGCAAATGCAATTTCTGCATCTCCCAAATGCGAATAGTTAAACGAGGCTGTCATGAAGGCAATGGTTATAAACCCCCTTGGAGATTGTCTAGGACTGCACAGTTGGAAGGAGGACGGAATTAGATCGATTTGGAGATGGAAAATAAGACTGCAACTTTCTTGATCATTTTTTCAGTGAAACTTTCCCAGAGGCTGTACTTGATTCATTATGGCAGGATCATACCAACTACTTAAGAAAACTCTCCTGTGCTAAAAGATGCATGTATTTATTTGTTCTTTGGAGACCTTTCCTGAGACCCAGACTAACCCTGTCAGTGGCTCCCTCTCCTAACATCAGAGCATTCTCTCTTCGCCATCCTCATCCTCACCAGTATGAGCTGTTGGATCTCTGCTGGGTGCATGGCACTGTTTAGGGCTGGGGTCGGGGAATCCGGTGTCCCAAATGACATGGCATTTTCTCACAATGAGAGGGAAAACCCTCCGGCTAAGCAGCAAGCAAGGACCCCCCACTCTGTTCCCACCAGTGCCAATAGGAGACACCAAGGCCTGCGCCCACAAGTGTGGGAGGTGAGGTCAAAGCCAGTGTGTTTTCTGAACACAGATTAAGGGTCATGACAGGTTAAATCTTAAGTGGTGCCCCTCCTCGCTGATGTACCTCTTTCTTGGAGCTCTCTGTTGGACGTCTACTCACCTATCCGCCATAACGCGAGCCCCTTCTTAACAGAGTGCAGGAGGTCACCAGGCCCAAGGGTGTGGCCCTGGCTCCTATCACCCGTGGCCGGCATCCCTGTTTTAACTGAGCTCTTTCTGGCTTGGCCTGGGCGATGCTTCAGAATCCTCAACAGCACTCCAGGAGGCTCCTGCCAGTCCTGTGCAGGAGGCACAGCAGATAGCCCCTACCTGCCAGCCCCGGGAGATGTGTGGTTCTGCTCAGATAGTGGAGAAGTCAGATCAGGGCCAGAGAGGAGGAGAGAAGGTGGAGAGAGGAGGGAAGCGGGAGGGACCGGAAGCCAGTTGGCCAGAGGCTGGAAGGAGGCTGCGGGTGAGGCTGGCTTGAGAGCAGTCTGGAGTTGACAGATCCGTCTTGCACTGTGCTGTCTCTCTCTTCTTCCCCCTCCCTTATCTCCTCTTCCTCCTCCCCGTCTCTCACCACCTCCTCCTCCCCTTCCCCCCTCTCCTCGTGAGCAGGCAGAGCCCGCCAGCGCCCCCCACTGTGCCCACTCTCGCTGCTCTCCTCCACTCTCTCTCCCCATGAAGGAAGAGACCACTGGAGTTTGCATGCACCCTCCAATCAAAACGAGGCTGGTAGGTACCCTGGCAGGGAGAGGGGCCTGGCCAGGAGAGGTGAGGCGGGCAGGAGCCAGCAGGCAGCATCCTCCCGGGTGTGCACGAGCGCCAGACCTCCGGAGGAGCCCGGCCCACAGGTGCTCTCTCTCTGGGATGGATGCAGGATTTGGAGTCCAGCCAACCCCGGTCAAACTGGGACCCACGGCTGTGGTCCTGCCCCTTCGTCTCTAGGTCTCAAAAACCCTAAAGAGTTTGTTCTCCTAGAGCTGTGTGATGAGCATAGATGCTTTACCCAGAGAGAAAAATCTTAGCAGCATTTCTATGGAAAACATAAACTTTTTTTAAACTTGTCTTTTCCTGCCTTTTTGTCAAGATGGTAATATGAGTATTACATAATGACTTGAATCACCCACAGTCCCAACCTAGCACAACCTATTTTTCATTTTTGCATGTTTCCTTCTAATATTTGTTCGTATTTGTTCATAATTTCGCATACTTAAATCACAGTATCCATCTCATCTCCTGTTTTCCTCTTTACGCTTAATGTTGTATTGTTTCTAGCTGGTTCTCATTACCACATTCTGTATAGTCCATCAAGTGAATGGTCCACCGTCTCCCTAACAAACTCTTTTCTGCAGGGTGCGTGCTTTGTTTCCAGTTTGTCACTCTTCGAGGGGACACATACATCTTGTGTGTCGGGGATTTTATTTTCTCAGGCCAGACCCTGCTGGGTTCAATACTGTGGCTTTGGCTTTGCTCCCTTCCTAAAGTGTGGCACCCCCAGAAGAGCTAATGTGCTTTGCCACAGCCGAGCAACCCAGAGTGCAACTGCTGGGGTATCTTTTTCTTCTTTAGAGCAGGTATAAAATAATCCTTTGATGTTGCCAACATTCACATTTCTTCAGTAGCCATAATAAACCTATTTTCCCCTGTTACTTCATGATGGTCTGAGTCTTATCTGTATGTTATTTTCACCTTATGGTTGGTTTCAGAACATCATGTTGAACCGTGAGGCCACGCGAGGAGAAAGGCTTCGTCTCGGTCCTTCTCTTGCGGTGCTTCAGACAGTCACTACCAGCAATCTGAGTCGGCCCCTGAGTCCCCGGGAATTCTGAGATGTTTAAAGAGACTGAAGGGAGTTTGGGGAAGGGGAACAGGCTTGGGCTGGGCATCTCAGTGCACGCTGCAAGGTCACTGTCGTTCCTAGATCTTTTGAGTTGGGACCTACTCAGCTCATTCAGAAACCTTCAGCAGGTGTGGGCCTGGTCTGATGTGTTCCTGCTCAAGCCTACCTTACAGTTGTCTAGGCCAGCTTAAAGACACACCCCCCTCCCCCAAGGCCTCTAGGAGGCCAAAGATGAAATGATCCAAGAGAAAGAAATGGAAGCAAAGGCTCATTTTGGCCCCTTAGCACTACCTGATCGTGCCGGGGCAGCCTCCCTTTCAGACCCCAGCACTGGGCAGTTCCGATCACTGTGCCTTCTGTTCCCAAGGCCACGGCGGCGGGATTCTCCCATGCTTACATGGGTGTCCCTGAGGTTTCCCCCCATTGCCCAGAGTTTACAGGGAGCCCAACAACTAAAGTGAACGGACAGGGAATCCTTCTGGCCCGATTCGTCCAGGTGTCCTGGTACTCTGTCTGCTCAGCTAGACTGTGTTCCCAGATGTGCCCTCTCCATTCCTCACAGCTGCAGAGAAGCCATCAGCCGGCCCCCAGGGAGCCCTCACCTGCCTCATTATCCCCCCTGGTCACAGTCAGGGCGAGGCAAGTGTGGGTACCCTGCAAACACAAGACTCCAGCCTGTCATCCCTGCAGAGTCCTGGCCCTACAGCGCGACGACAGAACCGCTGGGCAACGCTCTTAGGGACACCTGCTGCATTTCCTTAACAAGCAGTGAAGGCTCAGCGTGTGTGCCCTGAACCCTTCACTTCACATTTAAAAGTGTGCTGCCAAAGATGTCGTAACTTTGCTCTCTACTCTGAAAGTAATGCTCTTCTCTGTCTCTTTTTTGAAGATAAAGACATTCCCGGCTGATACAGTGACCCCCTTTCCTGATCCTTTCATCACAGGGCCGCAGTTTACCGTAAGTAGATCCGGAAAACAGATCTGGGTTTTAAGACATTGTTCCCATGTGGCGTGCTTTTCTGCGGATTGCCAGTCAGCAATGCCAACAGCTTCTTTGGATCACTGTGAACTCTGTCAGGTTGGGAGGGAGCTGGGGTTTGTGGTCTGCCTCTTCTCGTTCTTTCGTTTTATTGAGGTGAGCTTCATGTAATGTGAAATTAGCCACTATAGACAATTCAGTGACACTGAGTACATTCAGTGTCATGCAACTACCACCTCTGTCTAATCCTAAAACCTTTTCATCACTCCCAAAGGAAACCCCATAGCCATCAAGCAGTCACTCCCCACTGCCCCTTTCCTTCTGGCCCCTGGCAACCACCAGTCCGCATTCTGTCTCTTTGGATTCATCTAGTTTGGGCATATTCCTTATAAATGGAATCATATATATGTGACCTGTTGTATCTGGTTTCTCTTCTCAGCATGTTTGTAAGGCTCGTGCAGGATGTATCTCAATACTTAATTTTCTTTTTATGGCCGAATAGTATTCTGTTGTATGTACACACTGCAGTTGGTTGCTCCCTTCATTTATTGATGCATATTTGGGTTGTTTGCACCTTTTGGCTCTAGAGAATAAGGCTGCTATGAACATGCATGTACATGTATTTATCTGAGTCCCTGTTTTCAATTCTTCTGGGTTGGATGTGCATCTTGATAATGGTGTGATTTAAGGTTAAGTTACTTTACCACTCTGAGCACGAGTCTCCTCTTACTTAAAGTGGAAGTAGTAATAAAAATATCCTTCTCGTATCCAGTTGAGGAAAGGATCAAACGGGACCAAGAACTTGAAAGTACTTTACCGACCACAGACCATCCCACAAGTGTCACGATTGGTGTTTCTCAAGGCTGGAGAGGCAGGGTGGTGTAATTAGCAAGAGCAGGTAGTCATGACAACCAGCTTCATGTTCCCACCACTCTCTGTCGCTGAGCAGCTTTTTAAAATTCTCTGCAAACTGTTGAAATGTTTTTAAACATTGAAATGTTGTAGTTTCCTCATCTGCAAAATGAGAGAGTTCAATGCTTTTCAGGCTTCTTTTCAGCTGCTCAACTTTTTCCCTTAAATAAAAGCTTCTGCAGAAGCTCGCTGTCCAATGAGCTGCTGTACGGAGCAGAAGTAGAGAGTTCAGGCTCCCTCCTCTTTCCAAACCTCACCCTCTCCTCTTCCCAGGGATCAGAGTTTGCAATTCCTAGAATCAAGTGGTCCCTGACACTCCTTCCAAAGGAAGATTTCTGGCCAGTCTGGAGGATCTGCGAGGTGGGCTGTGAGGTGGCCTAGAGGTAGCTTGAAGTGCAGTCTCCCGAGCTGGAGGATGGTCACTACCTGGAGCGGCTTCAGCCACATGGAGACCGAAGGAATCAGCAGTGGCTGATTCAGGTCTCAGAGGATAGACAGAGGTGGGAAGGTGTCCAGCAGTCCATGCAGAGGCTTTGGCTTGTTCAAGAGGCATAGATTGTTCAAGTTCCTAGAACAGTCCATTCTAGGATCATGATCTGCCTTCAGAACCTGCCTTTTAAGAACCAGAGGGCAGAGACACAGGGGCTGGGCCAGCCTGTTAAGTGCTACTGCCCCGGCATTCATCCAGCCCCTGCAGTTTGGCTGGGCACAGCTCCTCAGCTGGAAGCTCCAACTCCACTTCCTCCGCTGGCCACGATGGGCACTCTGGCCTGCTGCCCAGCCTTGGCAGTGCTGTGAGACACCCAGGGAAGCCCTTCCTGAAAAGCTGGGGGCCGAGATGGAGCAGGAAACCATTGTCAGAAACCACGCTGAGACTTTTAAGAACTGGGCAAGAGTGGCTTAAAGGCAGCTGATGCAGGCAGAGGGAACAGCATGAACCAGAGTCCTGGGGCAGAGGGGTCAACCCACATTTAGAGGATGGAAATGAAGGCCAGTGGGCCTAGAATGCAGAGAGCAAGTAGGGCATGGGAGAAGGGAAGGGAGGAAGACAGGGACAAACCCTGTAGGGCAAAACCATGCTTGGCTTTGTGTGCCAAAGCAGGGACTCTGATCTGGATCCTGAGAGCAATGGGAAGCCTTTGAGGGACTCTGAGCAGGGCAGTGACAGGGCAGTTGCATTTGGAAATGATCCCTGTGATGGCAGTGGGAGACGAGCTGGGTTCAGGCAGCGTGGACGCAGGGCACTAGTCTAGAAATCTAGGACAGCAGAAGGGAGAGAGGGCAGAGAGCTTGACCCAGAGTGGTGCTGATGGTGGAGGTGGGGAGGAGTGCACAGATCGGGGAGATGCTTAAGAGATTGGTAAGGAATTGGGTTGGATGAGGAAGAGGGAGGGTCAAAAATGGCTCCCAGGTTTCTGGCTTGCAGAATGTGGATAGAGTGGGTCCATTCACTGAGATAAGGAGACCTTAGGGAAGACTGGAATGGGAGGGACAATGAATTTGCCTTTAGCCGTGATGTGTTAGAAATGCCTTGGAAACAGTGAGTGGGCAGTTGGATATCCAAGTCTGTATCCGGAGAGAGGACTAGACTGGAGATTATAATTAGGGAGTTACTGACAGCTGGATGGTAACAGAAGCCAAATTCACAGACTTCAGACTCCTAATTTTCTCAGCCCTGTGTGTCATGGTCTCTTCTCCTCCCCACCAAGGTCAAGACACTTGCCCTTGCTGCAGGGATGGCCTCCCCACCCGCCTCCGGACCTGTCCTGCTCACAGTCACAGGGCAGTTCAACAGCTCCAGGGAACTCCACACAGTTACTCTGGCAGTTGATCCAGCATTGACCTTGGGCCTGGTTTCAACAACCAGAGCTCTTTATTTGATCCCAAGACCAGTTTCTGCCTTGTGTTCCAGCCTCACTGCTCCCTAAGGTCATTCTTAAGTGAAGCTGGCTCTTTTTTTTTTCCTACTTTGAATGCACAGCAGTGGAAAATACAATGATTATTAGTAAAGTCTGGTGCCACTGCCTTGATTCATGCTAAGGCCTCGGTACTTAAATCCACTATTATCTTTGTAAGTGTCAATTTCCCACTTTTTCTGGAAAGAATCTAAATTGGCATCAAAAGCCCAACCTCCACCCACTTCACTGGGGCAACAAAACCTTTTACCCCAGCTCCTGTGTCAGGAAGGATGGACTAAGTCATGTTTTCAAATGACACATTGAATTTCCTGCTCATGCTGCCTGTCCTGGGTGGGCTGAGCCCTCTGCTCTATGTTGCCCTGTTTCTGGGACCCAGGCTAATGGAGCAGCTGTCATCTGGAACATTGCAAGTCACAGCGGCAGAGGCAGGAAGAAAGAGGTGGCCAGATCACATACTAGCACTTCAGTCTTCCAGTGGAAATAAAACATGGCACCTCAGCCCACATTTCCTTGGCCAAAGGAAGACATGGCCATGCCTAGCTTTAGAGCTGGGTAGGGAAGTGTAATCCTACTATGTGCCTGGAAAGCAGGAAGCCAGGATTATCTGGTGAAATACACAAGGGGTGGCTACAGCCCAGCATTTGTGAAAGCTCCCCATGGCAACCATCACACACTAGCAACTGTACGATGCTCCAGTTCTCGTCATCAGTTCTTTGGCATTGCGCCAGCCCAGGCCAGGTCAGTTTTGTCTCGGGAGGCAGTTGTAAAACAAACAGGGGCCTGTATTTCTCAGCAGTGGTCTTTCAGGACCTCTCAGAGATAAGCTTCTCCCCATTGCTCGAGCCAGATATACCCTTACAGAACTACAACTAGACCTGATATTTTTGTGGTTTTCTGTGTTTCCGTAGGAGGGACAGCTCATCTTCTAATCACCAGGAATATATCGCTTATTGGATGATCAAAGCCTCTTATTTAGAATGAAATATGAAAAATGTCTCTGGGTTTAGGACCAGGAACTAGCATGAAATATCAAGTTATAAAATATATAGCCGATCCTATTGAAAGGATATAAAACAAATGAAATGTATGCATAGAAAAAAATGCTATAAGGAATATACTGATAGTGATAGGAAGGGATTATGGAATTTCTTCATTTATTTACTTTTATATATCTTCTGAGTTTTCGATGTAAAGTTATAAGCATATCTTGCTTTGTAATGAAAACAAGTTATCATCTCCAAATGAGGCAGTGTGCTCTAGACCAGTACTTCTCAAACCTTACTGTGTATGAGAATCATCTGGAGGTCTTATAAAAACAGACTGCTGGACTTCATCCCCAGACAGTCTGGTTCCCAAATGTTTGTGTGGGGCCTGAGAATCTGCATTTTCACCAAGTTTCAAGATGATACTTGTACTGCTAGTCCTGGGACCATACTTTGGGAGCCACTGCTATAATGGTGAAAAATACCAATTATGAAGTTAGCTGACCCTGGTTCTAAATCCTGGTTCTTAACACTAACTGTGTGACCTTGGAAAGATTGCTTAACCTCTCTGAGCCTCACTTTCCTTTTCCATAAAACCAGTTCTAAGATTTTCTACCTTTTAACATCTCTGAAATCAAAATGTTTATTATAGTGGTGGGCGTGACAAAGTTTGGCCACTTTTTTCTTTCTCTGTGACACATGCAAAAATGGTGCATCTTACAAATGATGGTGTCTAACGTGTTGAAATATGATCTCTACCTTAAAGATTGTCAAGAGGTAATATATGTAAAGTGCTTAGCATAGTGCCTGGCACTAAGTAAAATCGTTTAATAAATCACAATTGATTGACTCTTATTAAAAAATAACAGAGACTGTGTGGTAAGGCTTAGGGAGCGGCTGACAGTGTGAAAATGGAACCCAAATTGAGATTGATTTCCTCTTTTCTGTTTCCTCTCCAGGCAGACTTTAGAGACAGTAAATTACAGTGCTGTCCTGGCCAGTCTTCCCCGCTGATTCCAGCCGCGACCCTGAGGCCTTTGACAGAGACCGTCTCCACAGTGCAGACCATCTACACCACACGGAAGCCTGTTTCTCTGGCAGCCAGGTGAGTCAGATCAGCAGGTACCAACAGCTATCTCTGGTGACAGGGAAACCAGGGCACAGGCTCTAGGTATGTTGTGTTTGTGACATCTGTAAGCCTCTTATGCATTCTTCCATTCATTTATTCTCTAAGTATTTATTGAAATGTCTTCACCGGCTGGATAGTATTCTAGGTGGTAGGGATGTACAGTGAAGAAAACAGATGAAGGTGCTTCCTTAATGGAGTTTACAGTTTATTGCTGGGGGAGGGGAGACAGACGTTAAATGTGTGTGTGTGTGTGTGTGTGTGTGTGTGTGTGTGTGTGTGTGTGTGTGATGGTGACAAGTACTAGGGAGAAAATAAAACCATGAAAGGCAACAGGGCATGCAGGGATGGCTTTGCCATGGTGGTGAGGGAGCCAGCTGTGGATTTGGGGGAAGAATACAGAAGCCAGAAGGAACAGCCGGTGCTAAGGCTTCCGAGGTGGAGCGAGCCTGATGTGGTTAAGGAAGGGTATGGGGGCTGGTGTGGCCAGAGAGAAATGAATGACAGGAGGGGAGGCCCATGAAGTTGAAGGTTGGGGCCAGATTGGGTAAAGCCTTCTTGGCCATAGTAGAAACTCTGATTCCTCCCCTGAATGAAATTATTTAAAAATTTGGTTGTGCCTTTCAAGACATGTACTTCCTGTGGGGTGTGTGTGTGTGTGTGTGTGTGTCTAAACAGTGAGATAAATTCCACACATAGACAACTGAGCCTGAGGGCCAAGAAGTCAGAAGCAAGCTCTTAAAGGAGCCAGTTTTTCTTCATTCAATTGTATTTATTAAAACATAAGAGGGAACTCTGGTAGGAAGTACTCATGAAACCAATTTAAAACATGATTTAAAGAGATCTAACCTCTGCACATTTTCATTCATTCAAAAGGCCTTTCCTGAGAGGTTGCTAGGTGCCGGACCCTGTACTAGGCTCCTGGGTTCAGAGATGAGTGGCACGTGGAATAGTCAGTCCTCTGGGGGGCGGAGACTTGAGAAGCCCTCGGTCTGGTGGGAGAAACCGATAGGCAGCCAATCCCACGCCCTTGCAATTCTAGCAGGTGTAGGGGGTCTTTAGGGGGCCTGAAAGAGAAAGTCAGGGACTGAGACTGAGAAAGAAACTGGGACTGTTCCTATGACTTTTGAGCGTTTATCTCACTGTTTTTGTCACCTGCTCTGTTTCAGCGCAGAGACGCTCCGGCAGGAACTGGAGAGAGAGAAGATGATGAAAAGACTGTTGATGACCGAACTGTGAAGCTCTCCCCTTGTTGCCTGGAGGATGGCGTGGTGCCTTCTGTCCGTTTTCTTTCCTCGGGCTTTGTGTGCTCACTCTAGCACAACATACAAACATGTGCTCTGTTCGCCCAGGTCTCCGTGGTTAGTCGAAGCCAGCTTCTGGCTTGACTTTTATTGGAGAAGTTGCTTTACGTCTCCTGAGTATTAGCGTTTATCAACTACTCAGTGTAGCTGAGACAGGATTTGGTAAGCCTAGGAGAAGAAAGATAGAAAACCAGGATTCCTTCTCAGAAGCACCTGTGTGTATATAATTAACAGCCACAGGGGTTAACATGGCACGGAATCCTTTGCTATAAATCTCAACCGTGTGATTTTGTATGATTGACACTTGCACCAAGCTTTGACTGTTTGCTAAAGTATCATTTTTAATGAGAGAATAATTCTTTACTGCTGGGTTTTCATTTACACTGGTAAATACACAGATCTTATGAAGTCTTTAACATTCATTTTTATTCAGACACCAGTAGGTGAACTAAAAAAGAAAGTTGCAGTTACCGGGACTGAAGGTACTTCAGCTTAATCTGAAATATAATTTAACTTGTGAATTTGTGGGATACGGTAATCATTTGGGATACACAGAATTTGTTATTGAACCCAAAGTAGGAAATTATAGTTTAAATTGTCTAAAACTCCTTACAAGGTTAAGTGATTTGATATCTGGATTCATTTGGGTGTTCCATAAAGGAAAAATTATTTCTAAAGTTGATCAACTCATGTCCTGTTGATAGAACCTTGACCAGAAGAAATTTTGCTCTCTTTTTATATAGTTTCAAGAAATGTGTTTTTAAATTTTTATTATGCACTTGAACAACTTTGCAGGAATAAAAGAACCCCCCCCACAACCACAAACTAGCCCTCTAAATTGTTTCCAAATCTTCCTCAATGAATATGCACACATTTTTACACCAACATGATCAGTGTGTACACACTCTGGTTACTTCCTACATCTAACACATATCTCCTCTTTTCAACACTGACCTTGCTCTCACCAATTTCAGTTTCTTTATATCCATGTAACATGGTTAACCTCATTTCTTGCCACTTTTAGATATTTGAGTTATATCCAATTTTTCACACTTATAAATAGTGCTGCTATGAATGTCTTTGTAAAAAAAAAATGTTCCTTCCTTTGGATTCTTCCCTTGGGAATATCTCCAAAGAGAGATTACAAGGTTAAAGAGCATGAAGTATTTTATAGCTCTTGTTTCATATTGCCAGATTGCTTTCTAGAAAGATCCAGTCTCTGGGTTGGAAGGACCTTAAAGGTCACTAAGTTCAACCCCACCATCCCCTCTGAATGCTTGAATCCCCTCTACAGTATATGATGCCACCAGCAATGTGTAAGCATTTCCATTCACCAGTAGTTCTGCCAGTATTGGGTTGTGCCATTTTTATTTATTTTTGCTAGTTTAATGAGTGTGTATAGTTGTACTTGAAAGGTTGTTTCATTTCATTAATTGCTAGCAAGGCTGAGCACTTTCCCGTGTGATGATTTACTAGCTGTACTTCCTTGTGTGCGAAGTGTCCATCCATTTCTTACGACCACTTGTCAAGTGGAACTGATCTCGTATATTTGTATCAGAACTGTATTTTTATGTTGTATAGTTTGCTCTCCTGTCCCTATCCTTAAAACTGAATGGTGCCAACAATTTGATACTAATGATTATAACAAAAAAAGTAACGCCTCATTTACTCGCATTGTTGTAAAATGAGGTGATGTTAGCAGATCTTCAGATAACAGAGGATTAACCCTTTAAGTGCTGAATCTTTAATCTTTTAATATTTTTTTGAGGGAAATCTTTCTAAAATATATTACGCTCTTCCCTGCCTTAGTAGACAGAGTACACTGGAGAGTATTTAACCTTTTCTTGGTGAGTCATGGTCATCATTGCAAACGTCAGCCCCTTTTGTACCTTGGTGTGGTGCAGTGATGTCATCAGGAGCTTTCAGAATGTGCGGGGCTTGGCTTGCCTTTCATGGACTAACGCTCTTCTCATGGGTGGTTTGCACTGCTGTCTGCTCTATTGGTGAAGCCACCTGGGGCGACTGTGGTATTTGGGAACTTTTCCCCCCTCATACTTCACGGCCCCTGGCTGTACTTTTAAAACAGCTTTAACCGTTCTTTATGTCGTGTACACGTTACAAAATGTGTTCCTGTACAATACGGCAGAGATATCTGTGTCTGGGGTTGTCACCTCTTGCCAATCCCTCCTCTTCTAACCTGCTTTCTGAGTCTTCTGCTTTTCGCTTCCTGCTCTCTGATGGAAACCTCCAGGGCAAAACTGAAGTTTTCTTGAGGAAGCCAGGAAACCCAGTGTTACATATATGTCAGGTGGGCTTTGCTTCTGAGGACAGATGCATGGGCTTTTTGGCCATTGTTTTCAGGAGGCTCTGAGCCTGCTGCTTCTTCCCCACGTCCCCCTGGGTTCACAGATGTTTCAGAAGGTGGCTGTCACTGGAATTCTGCTCACAAACAAGTCGGCTGTTACTGTATATGAAAACCCAGTACCTTTGGCAGCTCAACTCTAATCAGTAAAATCAAGAAGATTCCATTGTTTCAGCAGTTGTCCTGGTTATTTGCCTACATAAATGTATGATGGGTGCTTGGCATTGTGACCTGAGAAGATGACATTGTGTTGGGTGGATTCACAGGGATAAAAATGAATTGGTACAATTGCTTCACCTGTTTTTATATACTGAAAATCAAAATAACAGTGCCATATGGTCACACAACACGTCTTATATCCAGGGGGAAATATCAGCTTACTGACATTATCATTCCAGAGCAAGGGCTCCCAACTGTGGGCCACAGTCTCCTGGTGGGCAGAGGGGCATTAAGGCAAGGGGCCTGGGAATCCTGCAACCCTGGGTTTGTAGATTGTAGACTGCATAGGAGAGCTTTATGTTTGGAGAGTTTAAAAACTAGGTCCTAGAGCATTCAGAAGATCCCACCTGAATGCACCCCAAATTTTATATTCCCAGAATAGCACAAGAATATTCTGATACCATCTTTATCTTTCTTTCATCATCTCAAAGATCACAGCTTTTTAAAACTTGAAATTCACCATTTTAACCACTTAAAGTGTATAATCAGTTTTTTTTTAGTATATTCACAATGTTGTGCAAACATCACCACTATCTAATTCCCAAACATTTCCATGATTCCAAAAAGAAGCTCCATCTCTATAGTCACTACCAATTCTCCTTCCTCCTGTCTTCTAGCAACCACTATTTTACTTTCTGTCTTTGGATTTCTGCCTATGGATTTGCCTATTCTGGACATTTCATATAAATGGAATCATACAATATGTGGTCCTTTGTGACCAGTCTTTCACTTAACACAATGTTTTCAAGGTTCTTCCATGTTGTAGCATGTATCAGTACATCATTCCCTTTTAATGGCCGTATAATATTCCATTGAATAGCTATGCCATGTTTTGTTTATCTGTTCATCTGGTTGATAGACATTTGGCTTGCTTCCACTTTTTGGCTATTATGAATAATATGAACATTTGTGTACAAATTTCTGTGTGATCATATATTTTCAGTTGTCTGGGGTATATAACTGAGATTGGAATAGCTGGGTCATATGGCAACTCTATGTTGAACTTTTTGAGGAACTGCCAAGATCACAACTTTTATTTCATAAACAATCAAGAGTGAAAAGAAATCACAGACATTACTAGACAGTTAGAAGCATGGGCAATCTGTCGTTACTAGTCAGATATTAAGATGTAGCACTGATTTGGTGGGGGGTGGGGCGTTGGGTAAAGTTTATAACAGAAAAAAAGTTGTCTTAGAGAAATGGCTTTGATGAGAAGAGAAAATAAAGGTGCTATCTTTCTTTTTAAAATGCAAATGAAATTAAACTCAGGTTTATCTCTAAGTCCTTGTTTGAATAGCCAACTCTTGTTCAGGCAGTGGTCTCAGAATGTTCAGGAAAAGTTCTTCCTTGGAAAATGTGTACAAAAGAGAAAACCACAATATTTTTTGTGGATTCACATCACTGGGGAGCAGAGGGTCTACACCAGGGATGTAACAAAGTGGGGAATATGTGCTGAGGGTGAGAACAGGCCTCCAATTTTTCAAGAAAACAAAAAGAATAAGAAAATCCCAAAAGGCAATTTAAATGGATGGGAAATAACCTCATGGAAGTAAGCGGCCAAGTCTTTGGGAATTGGAAATTGGAGTAGGTTCTAAGGCCCTGGGGTGGCATGCAGACTTTAAGTGACCCATGAAGATTATGGGTATTCCCCCTAGAAAAATCCATATGTCTGTCACACATTATTCCAGCACTCTCATTGGATCCTCACAACACACCTGAAGCCCATCTGTGGCCCCCTTTGAGTCCATGGACCCCAGATCCTTGATCATGGGTAGGTAACTGAAATCTGCACTTTACCTGCAAGCCTCATTTTAGGCTGTGGTTGCAAACCCTCCTCCAACACTACTGTCCAACATCCTCTGCAAAAAAACAAAAAACAAAAAACAAAAAACCCCAAAACAAAAACCCACATAGTTTTATCAGACCAATTTACCAGAGGAATGACCTGGTTTTAATTTGCCTTCTATGTGCACCATCACTGTTCATTGTATTAATTAAAATGAACAGAACAAAAAAGAAAGTAATAGATAACAGCTTGGATTCCCAAAGCAGAGAATCAACACCAAAAGCAGAAGTCCAGTGCTTGCTTTTTTTGCTAAACGTTGGTCCATTTGTCCATTTTAAACTGGCCATATCTTTCCTGGCAAACAGGAAGACAAGAAAGACATTTCAATTTTTAAGAACAAGGTGGTTTTTTTTTTGGTTTTTATTTTTTAAAGACTACTCTTTAACAGATTTTCAATTGATTGGATTTTTAAATTTTATTTTAGAATTTTATCCTCTGCAAAGCTATGTTTTTTGGGGAGGAAGAAATCTCTTTGTTTTGATTTTTAAAGAAATTATACTTCATCTTACCTTTTTCAAGCAATAAATCTGATCTGTTTCTTGCAACAACTAGTATATTGGGAGACCTAGTGAAGCTAAAGGTTTCCATGAATTATACCTGGATTATGTATCAAAGATAAACATGTTTAAAGCTGATCCGCAGTAGCAAACACTTGCCCTCTGGGTCACACAACACTTCTCACTTTCCACAGCGATACCCTGTCTCCCCTCTCCCCCGGCCAAAAAAGGTTGGGATCACGAGTTTCTTTTGCATATTTGTATTTCATAAAGATAGGCACAGTCTTCGTGCCATTTATAGCATTGAACCCTATTGGTCCTCACCTCTATCATCTTACCTAATCCCCACTGCATCATGGAGGTAACTGATCACCACCCCACACAGTCTGACTTCTAGGCCAGCAATTGGAACTTCTATGCTTTTCTGCCTCCATGATTATTTTCTTTGTTTATGCCATAAAATAAAATTTTAAAGCAAGTTAGAATGCTGGCTCAGCAATACTACCATAAAAGGAATTGTGGCCATATTTTCTAGTGAAAAAAAGCTTAGCAGTTTGAACGTGTTACCACTCCCAGACCGTCATTAACAAAGAACTGTGGGACCTGGTACGTGGTAAGTGCTTGGCATGGATGAATGAATGGCTGGGTAAACAGCTGGAAGTGAATTGCAAGCAGCAGGAACGGATTTGGAAAAGGCAAGAATTCAGCGTGGCTATCAGACATGGTCTGGGCCTGCCCAGGCCTATGCTTGCTTGCTGTGGGGAAACAGTAAACCAGTTGCCTAGTTTTGAAGAGGGCACGTTATACAAGGGCACCAGCAGCTTCTGCTGAATACATTCTCCAAAAGTGTAGGTGAATCCAGCCCAAAAGATATAGGTTCTAGTTTCCCTCTCGCTCTGTGGGCCTCAGTTTACCTACCTATAAAATGGGGATCTTGCTGTTTCAACTTTTTTAGCGATGATTCCAAGAAATAATGGGTATAGTAAGTACTTTATATAACCAAAAAGTGCTGGAACATGGGTGGGGAAGGCAACAATTCTAACAAGGTGTGTCCAAAGTGAACACTCCAGGGAGCACTTCTTAAATTTGGACGTATATTGGGATCTCATGGGGATCTAGGTAAAATGCCGGTCCTGATTCATGCGTCTGCAGTGAGGCTCGAGATTAGTGATGCAAAAATGCTGGCAGCTGGGGATGCTAATGCTGCTGGTCTGCGGACCACTTTCTAAGTAGCAAGAGTCTAGAAGGGCTAAATCTGTGTCTGTGAGAGACTCGTGGACGGAGGTAGGAGAAATGGGAGAAAGGACGGCGGAGGAAGAGCGAGCCCAACGGAGGGTGGGAGGT